GATATTCATAGCAGCATTATTCACAACAACCAAGAGATGGAGACCACCCAAATGTCCACCCACTGATTGATGGATAAACAAAATGTGGTATATCCATACAATGGAACACATGCTAGAATATGCATGAATCTCGGAAACATATTCAGTGAGAAGCTAGTATAGACCAGCGTACAGAATTCTGGTTGCCCAGGGCTCAGGGTGGGTGGTAAGAACAGGAAGTAACTAAAGTAAATGGGCCTGGGATTTCTTTTTTAGGATGATGGAAATGTTCTAAAATTAGACTGTGATGATGACTGAATAGCTCTGTAATATATAAAAATTCACTAAATCGTACGCTTGAAACAAGTGGATTTTATGGTATGTACATTGTATCTCAATAAAGCTGCTCCTTAAAAAGACATTGTAGCGTCTACCTTGCTTTCTGTCCCTCTCGGTTCACTTGTTCTTGGGGAGTCCAGCTGTCATGTCACAAGGAGAGGTCTGCATGCCAAGGAACTAAAGCACCTGCCAATAGCATGTGAGTGAGCCATCGGCAAGGGGCATCCCCAGCCCCAGACACGTCTTCAGGAGACCGCAGTGTTGGCCCACATCTTGACTACAACCTCGTGAGAGACCCTGAATCAGAGCCATCAAGCTAAACTTGACCCACAGAAATCCTGTTATTTTAAACCATTAAATTCTGGGGTAAACTGTTACACAGCTAAATCAAACCAAACCCACTACCACTGAGTCGATTCTGACTCATAGTGACTCTGTAGGACAGCGTAGAACTGCCCTGTAGGGTTTCCAAGGCTTAAGTCTATACAGAAGCAGACTACCTCATCTTCCTCTCACAGAGTGGCTGATGGGCTCAACTGCCAACATTCTGGTTAGCAGCCATATGCTTTAACCACTGCACCACTACTGCTCCTTGTTACCCAGCAACAGATAATTAATACATTTTCCTCAACCCTCTTGTCAGTGTTAGGCTCACTCTCCTAAGGGTAAATACCTGAAGATACGACTTTCTAGCAATCCCTCCTCTTCTGAGAATTATCAGCCCCATCCGTATGTGTATTTAAGTAGCTGTCACGTTAGTGTGACATGATCCCATCCCCTGGCCTTAGCTGAACGATCCAGAAGTGGGCACCTAACCAAAGCCAGGCCAATAAAGTCCTCCCCTGAGATGTTTATAACTGCAGCCGAGAAAAAGGCAGCATCCCTCCAGTAGCTGACACTGTAAGAAGTAACACTTGGGGGTCTTTTGGCCATCACAGTCCTTCCCACATGGGAAAAGCTGAACAGCAGTGAAGAATGAAGTCATCCCAGACAGACAAGCAGAGATTCAAGATGGGGATGGTGGAGACAACTCGAGCTCTGGTTCCAGGGATCCTCTCTGTGACTCTGTCCCCTGCCAGGGGCACACTACATCCCTTGTGTAACCTCAGCATCTAAAACAGTACCTAGTGCACAGGAGATCGTGAAATATTTATTGAATAAGTGGATAGAAAAGATAACCCAGTATTCTTCCAATAAACAATCCCTGTAAAAAGGGCAAGGGGCAGCGTGTCCGACCTCTGCCTCACAGGAATCCGCCTTGGGCTGCTGAGGCTGACGGTGATTTTCTTCCCCCTCAAGAAGTTAGAGGAGGTCAGACTGCACAGCCCCCCACACCTTTTTTGCAATCCTCTTCTCTTTTTGCTCAACCTAAAGTTGGATTTGATTATTTAACCCAAAAGTCCTAACTCTTCTTTGCTCCCTTTGTACTCTGTATATTCCTCTATTGTCATTATGACAACATACCCTAATTACTAAGGAGCCCTGCTGGAACAGTGGTTAAACACTTCGCTGCTAATCAAAAGGTCAGTGGTTCAAACTCATCAGCTGCTCCATAAGAGAAAGGGCAGGCTACTTCCGTAAAGATTACAGCCTTGGAAACCCTATGGGGCAGTTCTACTCTGTCCTATAGAGTCACTATGAGTCAGAATAGACTCTACGGCAATGAGTTGGATTTTGGTTTATCCTGATCACTAGTTTTCATGGCTCCTCTTCTACTACTAGAAGGCAGGGCAGTTTCTTGGTCATTTCTGGTATCATCAGTAGCATCTAGTCCAGAAAAAAGAAAGTGCTCAAGAAATGTGTGTAACTGACTTAATTAACCCTTTACTCTTCACTGTTGAGCTTTTATAGCCACTGTCTCCATACAAGGCAGTGGGAGTACCATAAATTGTCACATTTTTGTCTTGGGGTCTCATCCATTCAATGAGCCCATCCAAATATCTAAGTACCTACCACAGACCTGAGACAAAAAAACATGGTGCCCATCCTCAAAGACCTTACAGTCTAGCACAAACAAATAAATCAATGCCTCCACCATCACATGTTAAACGTTACTGAGCAGAGAGGCACAAGCTGCTAGCAGCAATGAGGATTACAGGGCGTTTATACTCTACTTGAGAAGGCGAGACATAAACTGAACATAACAACCAGACAATGGGGCACGGGCTAAGCACCAAATGATTTGTTTGCCAAGTTAAAAAACCAGTAGCTGTCGAGTTAATTCCATCTCATGGTGTCCGAGGAGAACCGAACTCCAGAGTTTTAGTGGCTAATACTTTGGAAGCAGACTAACAGGCTTCTCTTCAGAGGAGACTCTGGGTTCAAACCCCCAACATTTCGGTGAGAAGCCCCTGAACATGTCAACCACCGGCACCACCCAGGGATGCTGGGTTAATCTGCATACTGGAAGGGACCGCTGGGGAGTGATTTTTAGATCTTCATTCTACCAACATTTAGTGAGTGCCTACTATGTGCCGAGCAACTCGTTTAGCACTTTTTCAATGTTGTCTAACTTAATTCTCACATTTTGCAGCTGAGGGAATTGAGTCTCAGCAGGTAAAATGGCTTGCCCAGTCTTCATAGCAGGTAAGTGAGGGCGCTTCCCACGTCCAGGTATGCCATGCTGTTCCGTCTGCATAACTGAAGCAATTTCCACATACTTCCACATGCCTTTTACTGCTTCTCATTCACCCGACAGCATACAGTCCAGGGTTCTGCACAAACGCGTACCCGCCATCTGATGATCTGGCCACACACCCGTCTACACTTTGAGAAGCCAGAGGGCCACATCAGATCCCACCACTTTGGTGCCTTTTGTAGCATCCTGAGCTGACCAGAGCGCAGTTGGATGGAGATGAGGAAATCTATTAAACAGTGTTTTTGACCACAATATCCGGTCAGTCGTCCCAGCTTTCAGCAATAAATCAAAACGATCTTCCATTTCCTTTGACAGTTAACAGTACCAATGAATTCAGTGTAATCTCACCATCCATCAGAGAAATTTCTAACATGTAAACTTGAAGCTGATGATTCACGCCGTTAGTAGAGAAGGAGAAATAAAGCAGTCCTCACTGTTGTCTACAAAACCAGCATTGTCTGCAAAACCCAGAAACCAAGCAGCTGGCTGACTACTCATAAGCAGGCTGTTTCTTGGTCATTCAGCAAAAAGTTACTTTTTGCACATGATGGCTGAGCAGTAGCTTTCTTACGCTGGACCCTATTCCACATGTATGAATCAGTGGATTACTACGTAAGATGAGAGAAAAGAAATTCAAAATCTCCACAGCAGAAAGCGCCTGGCACAGGAACTGGCACAAATCAACTCAACAAAAGTTTATTGAGTATTCAATAGCTCTTTGAAAGCAACAATTGCCTGTTAACTTGAGAGAAAAATCAAACCAACTAAGCACACACATGATAAGTTAAGAACTCAAAAAGATTAAAGAGGAACTGGCTCACAATGTTCACAACCAGTGATTTAACAAAACCTGCTGAAGTAAGTAGGCATGAATTTGACATCCATTAAGCCACTGCAGTGACATCCAAAAAAATGCAAATTGGCACTCGTGAGAAATAACAAAACCTTAAAGAACTGGACACAGAGGTAACTTTACAGTCTGTTCAAAACAGAAACAAGGTATTTAGGTGTACATTTGAAAACCTGCTATTTAAGCTTGGTATCTCCATAATAAAGGAATATCTCAATGTGCCAACAAAGCTGTCCAGTCCTTAATGAATGTTCACAAGAACAGCTAATGCTACTGATTAACAACTGGGTAAAAATGTATTTTCTGCTCACAGATGACGAAGTATCTCTAACAAAACTGGCCTCCTCCCATAGAAATCCAAACTGTGCTGATTTAATCCAAGTCCAGTCATTTTCAAAAATAACAACTCGGACTCACACAATGAAAAAAGAGCAAGTCTAAAGCTGAGACCAACTCCAGTAAACTCAAGCATCAGGACTTAAGTGCCTACTAGTCGCTCGACCTACAGCTTTAAACTGGTAAAGCCTTCATCTCAAGAGACCTTTGACAGGAATTGAAGGCCAAGTGTAGTATTTCACGAAAATTGCAAATAGAAGTCCTCAACCCCTAGAGCCCATGATCCCTCTGTACCTCACGAGATCGCATACAGGACACATAGTACCTTTGGGACGGTTTCCCAGAACCCCACCGGGGCCACTTCGAGGGCGGTACAGGGGATAGAGAAGTGAGCTACGTTCCAAAACAGCGTCCTTCACCCTTCTCGAGGAAGGCGCGCCTTCTATCCGAGACAGGATGCAGTGACAGATGTGTCACCTGTGCGGGAAAGGGAAGGGGGCGCCGAAGCCATCCCCAGAGGCCAGGGCCAGCAGGCTGTCCGCTGCTCCGCGGACCCCTTCTCCCCGTGCCCGCCGCTCCATCCCCAGCTCCGGGAAAACTTTCAGTGCGCCTCCCCGGGCGCGCCCTCACCTCCCCGGACCCCCGGGCTCCCGCCCTCCAGCGAGGCCCCGCCCCGGGCCTGCCCCTCCGCGCCCCC